CAATGTTGTGTTACGTGTTTAAGTTGTTATATTAGATGAGACATAGCATTAAGTGAGTTTCTACTGCTGCTGGGTGAAAGTAAGAGAAAACACAACAAATGGATTCATTCATTCATTTATTTTCTTTTCGGCTTAGTCCCTTTATTCATCAGGGGTCGCCACAGCGGAATGAACCACCAACTTATCCGGCATGTGTTTTACGCAGTGGATGCCCTTCCAGCTGCAACCCAACACTGGGAGACCCCCATACACTCTAACATTTATACACATACATTAATTTATTTTCTTTTTGGCTTAGTCCCTTTATTAATATGAGGTCGCCACAGCGGATAGAACCACCAACTTATCCGGCCAACTTATATGGTTTCATGCAGAATATGTCCTTTCAGCCACAACCCCATCTAGACGACCTTCTAGACCAATGGTCACACACCTGGGAAGGACAGAATAGACAACGGGAAAAATAAAAGAAAGTGAAACAGAAAACAAACACAAAACTCCCAAAAAATAAATTGGAACACAACAATTGCCAAAAAGCCCTAGTATCACCACATACAAAATTTTAAAGAACACCCCTTGTACTATGTTTTACGTACAAGTCAATACTTTATTAGACTCGTGTAACATCCCAATATCTACAAAAATATGGACCTAAATGGTAAACATAGAAAGGCAGCCATTTTAAATTTTCAGTGGAAATTGTTTACAGTTTTTACTTATTTCAGGCATTTTGGTTTTACTTTACTTAATTAACCCTTGTGTACTGTTCAAATTTACTGCCTTTTTATTATGTTGGTGATTGTTTCTGCCCCATTGACTTCCATTGTAATAACATTTTTGATTGCAAAACCATGACAGATGAATGAGGCAAAAACAGCCAGCAACATAACAAAATAGTAGTAAATTTGACCAGAGTGTATTGTTGAGTATTTAAAAATGTTCAAAGAATTATCAGCAAAGTATGTCAAAATAACATTTGTCACCAAAATCATTCCATTTGCTGAAACACAAAGAAGTTGTGGCCAATTTAAGACTTAAAATCACCCTAGAATGGATGAAAACATCCCCAACAGCACACAAGGGTTACCACCTTAAAATCAGAAGTTGTTGAAACTCAGAATGTCAGAACTTCAAAACTTCACATTTGTGATAACATCCTTGGCTTGCACACATCTAAAAAACAATATGCCGTCATAATCATAGAAAGATGAAACATTAGCAACAGACATGAAACAACACCTCAGAGGAAGTTGTCGGAGCGGCAGCGTTCACATCTCTGAGTGAGCTCACCGTCAGCCAGGATTCAAAAGGAAACCAGATGAGCCAGTAACAGATCCCTTGCCACTGATTCCCACGAGATATGACATCACTATTAGCTCTGTTATTCTTAGCCTTCTTTCTGTGGCTTCTCTGTGCTGTGAACGAACCAAAATAGAGAATTCACAGCAACCAAGCCCTCAAAGTTCAAACGAAGACTCCCAAGAGGGATAAACTCCATTAGAGGTTAAAGAGCAAAGAGCTTCTCTGTACATTAAGGAGAAAAGTCCCATTAAAGTCCCTGCACACACCCTCATCTAACCGTTGCCATTGGTTACCAGACAGGTAGACATGCTCCCCAAAAGAATTTGAATACTTAAGCCACTCTTTAAATGTATGATATAAATATATATAAATCTAAGTTAGGCAACATAGTGGCTCAGAGGTAAGCACTGTCACCTCACAGCAAGAAGGTTGCTGGTTCAAGTCCTTTGCTGGGTCAGTTGGCATTTCTGTGTGGAGTTTGCATGTTCTCGTCGTGTTGGTGTGGGTTTCCTCTGGGTGCTCCGATTTCCCCCACAGTCCAAAGACATGCGCTATAGGTGAGTTAAATAAACTGAATTGTCCATAGTGTATGAGTGTGTCTATGTAAGAGTGCATAGGTGTTTCTCAGTATTGGGTTGCAGCTGGAAGTGCATCCCCTGTGTAAAACATATCCTGGATAAGTTGGTGGTAGGAATTAATGAAATCGAAGTTGTTAAAGTGCAAAATTCTCACCACCAAACAATGGTTATATAACTGTTGCTAATAGTTACCAGACCGATAGGCAGTGCGCCCCTAAAGAATTTGGACACTTAAACATGTTAAAATTATAATAAAAAGTGTGATAAAAGGGCAACATGAGTACAAGTGTACAAAAATGTCATCAGCAAACAATGGTAATATATTTTCTCACAACAGATCATGCTTTTGTTTGGATAGTGACAAAGTCAGTTCCCCTCAAGTTCACACAGGGGTCTTAGCATGCAGAGTAAGAGTTACATTACTTCATTCGTTAATTCAAACTTTAATTAATTCATTTTCTTTTTGGCTTAGTTCCTTTATTAATCTAGGGTCATCACAGCGGAATGAACCGGCTACTTATCCAGCACACGTTTAACGCAGTGGATGCCCTTCTAGCTGCAACCCATCACTGGGAAACATCTATACACACTCACTCACACGTACACTACGGTCAATTTTAGCATACCCAATTAAATAAATGATTTATATATACTATAAGACAAGATCTAAAACAGAAATAAACGATAGGGATTAAGCCATAGGAAGGTTGTGTGACCCTTATTCCACACTCTTACATTTGCTCTCTCAGATTTCACTCCCCGTAGCATCTGACATCATGAACTTCACTCAGGACATGTGTTAAGGCTTCCCCTACAGTAATACAACTAAAACACGGATTGCCGTAAAACTCAGTCAATGGCAGGGAAGCATTTTCTCTCGTCAATGCTAGGGAAAGAGTTACAGTATTGCCGAGTTCAGACTGCATGATTTTAACCCCGATTTTGACTCGCCGACAAGTTTTGAGAAATCGCAGACAAATGCCTGAAATCACAAACAAATCGGTGCGTCCTGTGAGTAACAACCACATACTGTGAACTATCAGAGACGCGATCTGAGAAAATTGCTGATGAGTCGCGGATGCCCATGAGATATTTGGCATGCTAAATATTTGGACCTGTCGGTGATTCAAATCATGCTGTGTGAAATGAGTTTTGACTGAAAATAACATCAGCGATCGCCTACAGCCAATGAGAGAGTAGCATCCACTAGTATGGGTATCTACAGGCCAGCGGGAGGTTGTGGGATAAGTTAAAAGCGCTCATTTTCAGTTTATTTGGACCCAAGAAATAGTGGAAAAACTAGTGGAAATTTGGCAGGAGCACCCGTGTCTGTTTGACGTATCATGTGAGCAATACAACAACCAGGTCAAATAAGAAAAAAGTTGAGGAGAAATGGCTAATTCCCTTCAAACCCAGGTGAGTAAATTTGTACATTTTCTACCCCATTAAAGGCTTCTTTCTCATTATGTAGTTAACAACAAAAGATATACGACGTGTTTTTGGTTGTGGGACGTAGTTTGGACAAAGTTATTGGCGATTCTCCTATTGTAAAGTCATGAAGTGTGAAAGCCCCTGTCGCCGATCCATATTGCAGTGTAAACACAGCAGCGACAAAACGCTGCCCCAGATAGTCATGCAGTGTGAAAACATCCGTGACACGACTACTTTGAAAATCATGCAGTCTGAATGGCATAAGCGAAATCATTTATCGATTTGATTTTGATGCACATCAAAACACCAGCCATACATGTAAAGCAAAAATAATATCCTTCAATTCATTCACATCCTGCAGCCATCATTCTTGAACCAATCTCCATCATTGTAAACTGCTTGCTTTTCGGTCTGTTCCATTGATCCGTTTGTTAGATGTTTGCTTCCACTTTCTTTTGCCGTGTGAAGCATGTCAAACACACAAAACGCCCAATTTGCGTCGTGTTATTCACTCAATTTGCACCACAGGATGTCTAATCGCATCTTATCATTGACTTCACATGTAAACCTCTCACACTATATCCACGTCTGCTTCCTGCACAGGCTACAAAACAATTTCCCCCATTTCTATGTAATGTTAGGATTGTGAGCGCACAGGTGAGATGTCATTTTTCGAGAGACACTCAAATACATCACGCGGGCTGTGCATGCAACGTCTATATGTAAAACAGTTAATTGCAAACTGAAATAAATCTAATTTGATTATATGGTTTGCAAGTGGAAGTTTTATGAGATTATTTACATTTATTTGTAATTATTTTGCATTTAAATTAAGATTTTTACAGGATTAAAAAAAATTGCTACTTTTTGTTGATTTTATGTTGGATTCAGCGAAAATCGCAAAAAACTACGGGGTCTGGATACTACGACAGATATTTTCACTATACGCATTTTTAGTTTAGGGTTTTTGTATTTGAATTGTTTCTTTTGATAGTTTTACGTTTGGATAATGATAAATAAATGACAAAAACCACAGAATTAGTTCATCAAAATAATTTTGAAGGTACATTTCTAATAATTCTATTTTTAACAGCATATCTAATTTTACACTGTTTAAAAAGTAGCTTAGCCTGTTTTGCTTGTGCTTTTTGTATAAAAATATATATTTTATGCTTTGTGGATTTCAATAAAATATTCATAATTATGACTTAAATCTTGAAAATGCATTTAAAATGTTTTTATAGAACACTGGGATATTTTTTCTGATTTTTCTCTATTGATTTACTTTTAGACTCACATTACTGAGCTGTCTATGCCCCAGCCATGTCAAAAACATGCTACATCTCAGGTTTCAGAGGTCATTAATCACCTGTAGCTGATAATGAACATGGCTTATGCAGCCCTTTGCTCTTTTTACACAATGATCAACTTTTGGCTTCATATTAATGCCTCCAAAACAAACGCAGCCTCCTCATCAAGAGACAGAATAGTGTCCCTTCACCACCTCCGATTAGGACAAGATAGTAAGTTAACAAAACCAACAAGTGGACAGGGAAAAGAAAGGAGGAGTGGACAGACGATGTCTGAGTGCGATAAGTGAAGGAGGAGAGAAGTGAAATGGTGTGTACATTGTGGTGAGAGAGAGAGAGAGAGAGAAAAAGAGACATAAGAGGAGGAGAGAGTCATGGAGGGAGGGAGCCAGCTTGTCATTGTGAAATAGTTGGGTGGAATACACGTGTGAACTGCAGTTCCTCTCTGCACTGCGCTGAATGGTGACCAGCGACTCAAACAGACAGGAGGGGGAGGACTGACCAGCATGGAGCTCCACTCACCCAAAAAGAGCTGAATAAACAGTACAACACAGCACTGCAGTAAAGACAAGACACACACTGAGAAACACGGACAAAAGGACGCAAGATAGGAAAGCAAGGTACCCTATGGTGTTTTTGTCTGCTTGTGTCTAGCTACATATAGAGTGTGTTGATAATTGTGATGGCTGTTTTGAGTTGGAAGTTGTTGCTTTGTACAGTAGGTTAGTGTGATGAGAGTTTGGGTTTCTGAGTTTCTTCTTACACGGGGGTGTGTGTGTGTTACTGCATCCAGAGATTTTGTTGCAATTCAAATTACAGCATTGAAGTGTTTGAAAGATGGATCTTCTCTGCGATATGAAGAAAAAGAAGAACATTAAGACTAAATTACAGAATACATAGCTATCTCTAGCAAGCCAAAGCTGTTGAGGGTGAGCTGGATGTTGTGGAGTTTACTTCTGCTTGTTTTCCCTGATGAACAGGAACTTTTCACTGCCTGCTTTTGGATGAGGTAGCGTGTTTCTCCCCCTTGTGCTCTCTGCTACTTTTGTTTGTCTCTCATACCTCTAGATCTCACACCATGACAGATTAGAAGGCTTAGCGAGAATAAACGTTTTCATGGAATGAGGGTGTTGATGCTACATTTGCACGAAAATGCTGAAGCAGGACTTGCAAATACCTGATACAACACAAACATCAGACATCTTTTCAGAAGGAGTAATTGCAACTTTTCTCAAATTATTCTTTTTATCTTTTTACTGTATATAGCTGTATATCGAGAGACCTGAAAGATTAGCTAAAGTGGCTACTCATTCCTTTACTACACAAAATATAGATGAGGATAATTAACATAAAGTGATTTGAGAGGTATTGGACTTGTAAGCAAGTTGTCCGTGTTTACATTTGGTGTTAAGTTGTGGTTTTGTCAAGCCAATAACATATTGACAACACTCAATACAGGAGTAAATGGGCTATGAAATGTTGGAAGGTTGTCTACTTTTGACCACTTTCCAAGGTAGCCAAAAATGCATTTGACCTGATTGCTTTGTTAGTGTAGACCCTCATGTTGAGGAATGTGTTCAAAGAGCTACCAACTCTCTGCCTACTGACCTAATTCTTTAACATCACAGGACATCTTGTTGAATGTGCTAGCTGGATGGGCTTTAAACTAAGATCATAAATTTGGTTTGAAGATGAATAAAGTAGTGATTTGTCAGTTTGGTGTAGTTTTGCAGCATTTAGAAAAAATGTCTTTTCTTATTTCTCAATATTATATTATAAGCAGAAACGTTGATAATGTTATTTCTTGCTAAAAAAGATGCCCAGCAAACAATTTTGTGTTTAATAGACGTCTAAAAGACATCAAAACTTAGACAGCTTGGCTAAAACAAGTTTAAATTTGGGCTGTCAGTGAAAATCTAATAGATGTCTCAGAATAGGCCAAAACTAGACTAGTCGTCAACTAGACATATTAGACAGACTTCATATGTGTAGTTGTTTCGGTTTATTTGATGACTGGTCTAGTTTTGGCCTATTCTGAGACGTCTATTAGATTTTCACTGACAGCAAAAATTTAGCCTTGTTTTAGCCAAGGTGACTATGTTTAGATGTCTATTAGACATCTATTAGACATCTTTTAAAAAATGCTTGCTGGGTAATGGCTGTCATTTTGCCAAGTAGGACATGTTTCTGGATCAAAACCCTACTTGGTCCCAATACAACATTCCAAACAAACAGATTTTTTGGAGGTTAGGGTTAGGATATGGCATGTGGTGAAACCACTTCATCTGTAAACATGCCGTAATGTTATATATTATTTATGTTTCTCTATTCTCTTTGTTGTTGTTGAGGCAGGTTTTGTTGGGATACAAGAGCAGTTGGGTCAAGCATTGGTGCCCTCAGGATGTCGAGGAGGAGCTCTGCTGGGGATTTGGTGCCCAAAGACATCACTGAGGTACTGGCCCTTCAGGCTAGTAAGAAGAAACGTGGTTCATCTTTAAGTCGGGCTTTTAGTTGGTTCAAGGGCAGCAAGCGCAAGAGGAGTCTCAGCAATGGACAGAGCAGGTCAGGAGCCCCATGTGGACGTTCTGAGGAGAACACTAGAACCAAACAGATTCATGCCAGTAATGATGCCTCTAAAGGTAAGCAAAAGCTCCTTTGCTTGCTTCAGTACCTGTAAATGCAGAGTATTTATAATCTGCCGGAATGTATTACCAGCTTTTTTTAAAGCCTCGGATTTGTTGATGACAATCAAAGATGATTTTGATACCATAGATGAAAAGGTTCACAATACCGCATAATTAACCACATTGGTGCCTGTTTGTCCAATCCGTGAACATGGTATTTCTTTCTTGTATTGTTTGTATAGTTATCGCTGGGACATCACTTATCCGAGGTGGATTAGGCTACTATCACAAGGGCATGCCTTCTCTGGAATAACTTATCTTTCTATTGATGTTTCTTTTTGTCTTGTTTTGCATTTTTTGGAGCTCAAAATCTCTACTGGACAGAGAATTTAGCTTTGGGCATGGGTCCCATCAGAGGCATTGTGTGCTGTTGTCATGGGTAAACATTTTAGGGTTTGTATTTTAATGCTACATAATAAGATTTGTCATACTGGGTAGGTTAATCTGCTCAGTTAGTACTGTTGCCTATTAGTAATTCATTGGTTGGAGTCCAGGCTTGGCTTTTCTGTGCGGAGTTTGCATGTTCTCCCAGTAACTAAATTGGATGTAGGGAATGAGTGTGTGAATGACAAGTTTTTGGGTGTTTCCCAGTGTTGGGTTGTCGATAGAAGGGTATCTGCCACATAAAACAAATGCCAGGGCAATTGGCGGTTCATTCCGCTGTGGTAACCCTTGATAAATCAGGGACTAAGCCAAAGGATGGTGAGTGAGAGTACAAGAGTAGATATATTTGTTGTCCATATTCATATCTGTTTGATCGAAAAATGTCTAAATTAGCAATCACCTAGCAACCATTCAGAACTTCCACAAAAACCTTTTAATTACCATTCATCCAGTCATAACCATATTATCCTAACACCCTATAATTAGGTAAAAATTCAACTTCCCAGAACCTCCTAAGAACACTATAGGGAGCCTGTTGAAGCAACACAATTTACTATATTTAAGCAAAAATATAGAAACTACTTGCAATCACCTGAAATGTCCTAAAAATGTATTAGCAATTACGCTGCAACACCTTAGCAACTACTCATAACTTCTTAGCAATAACTTTCCTAGCAACACCCAAGCAACCAGCCACACCAAAATAACCACAACCGTACACTTGCACAAAAATCTTAAAACCATTTAAAAACACTACAGCGACAACCTAGAACATCATGAGAGTTTTCAGAGAATACCCCAGAAATCAGATAACAATCCCCCTGCAACCTCTGCTAACTAAAAAGCAGTGCCACTCTCAAAACCCAGGTAATCAATCCAGGCAACACTGGACAAATTATCCACAAAAGTTCTAGCAACTGACCACCCACAAATGCCAAAATTTCAAAAATCTAAAATTTGGAAACACTTTGGAAACTACCCACAAAACTTTAGCAACTACTTAAATATCTCCCCAGTAACCATCATAACATGCTATCAGCTTCCTTAGAAATAACCTGGGAAGTGGAAAAGAGATGCTCTGAAACTATAGACTCTGCATGAAGAGCTTCAGGAGGAGTATTGAGGATCTCTGCCATGTGGCATCTGTTTATACAACCCCGTGTACAATCTAAGACAGTATGAACTATACTGGACACTTTATTAAGAAAATGTGTGCTTAATATTTTTGTTAAGTTGTCTTGGGAAAGTTCTCCAAAGCTAATCCCAGAGGTCCTCTTGGACACTGACTCTTTTAAACCTGCTGGACCACTTTATTATTGAGGTCAAACCAGAAAAGGAGCCTATTTAAAAAGACTCAGATTCTAGATTTTTCTCTTCCTACCATTACAAGTCTCCCACTCCCTCTGATACACTGAAAAAGCACAAGAGTTGCCAGAGTGTGTGAGTTAGCAGACACTTGGGACTTTAGCTGGACATACACTGTGCATAACATGTCATTCAGAGTCTTCTTGTCTCATATTCTCTCGTTAGATTCCACGATTTATAGGATTTTCTGATCTTCACGGGAAGAGACAAAGCTAGTGTGGAAAGGTTGGAGAGATTAGACACATGGCGTTATTAAAAGATGACTGAGGAATTTATCTGAAATGCCTTTTTATTATTATCACTTTACAGTCTGTTTTCATAGTCTCTGATGGAATGTACAATCGTAGTTAAAAACTTAAAAGTATAATTTTGCTGTGTGTGGTTCCTAGGGTGTTTACTGAATACTAATAAGGCCATTGCAGAGGGTTCCTCAACAGCCAAGGATCCCTAAATTTAAAATCAACTTTCTCCATACTAGTCATGGCGTATACGAGATTGAATAGCTGTGGCACTAATTTCACTTTGATTGAAATTGCTGGTGGTCATTAGAATCAGTACCACCTTTCCTCCTACTAGCATGACCAAAAAAAAACTCCTCTGCAAGACTCTGAAATTTTGGTCCATTTACTTTCCTGCATGGGCCTCCTTCACTACAGATTGCATTCTGATTCACCCCCAAAGCCAGGGGTCCCCAAACAGACAGGAGCTCTTCATAATTGTCATTATATGTCTCCCTACTAGTAACAGCTCTATGTATAAGCCATGATTTATTTTTTGGTCTATAAATGAAAGTGAAAGTGAAGTGAGCCTTGTCAAGTATGATTTTACCAATACTCGAAATTGGTCCTCTGCTTTACAACCCATCCAAGTGCGCAGACACATTTTTAGTGAGGAGTGAACACACACACACTGAGCACACACTCCGAGCAGTGGACAACTATTCCAGCACCCTCAGGAGCAATTAGGGGTTAGGTGCCTTGCTCAGGGGTACCTCAGCTTGGTATGGAAGGTAGAGAGTGTGGTTCATGTATTCCCCCACCCTACTTGCAGCAAATGTGAAAAGAGCTTCCCAACAAGACTGTTGCCACTTTTGCCAAACTGTCCTAAGAAAAGCTGGGTTCAGTTCCAGCTGAATGACCCAGAATTCTGAGCATCTGCCTCCCATAGCTGGCTAAACGGAACCACACTGTCTATTTTATCTGTAATTTAATGAAGTGAATATATAAAAGAATATGTAAAAGGAGTCCAAAAAACAGAAACATCTGATTATTGTCCATATTGCTGTTTACATTATACTTGTGTTATCAAGGCAATTATCTACACATTTGGAGAGCATTCCAAAAAGCTCCGTTATCAGCACCACAGTGGAAATCAAAAAAGTGCTGGCTGGACCAGATTGACATGGAATGGAACAGTTAGGCCCAATCCCAATTCTAATTATGTACCCCTACCCTTCCCCCTTGGCTCTTGAAACAGAGTGTGTGGGGGAAGGGCTTCAAAATGTATTTTTATACACTGTAAAAAGGTAATTTCCATCCACTAGACTTTTCTGACAGGGTATCCTAGTGTCATTGAGTGCCAGAAGTGAAAGTATGTTGTGGAACATCCATACATGAGTTATTATTATGGATTATAGCTAGTGAAATGTAGCAGTTTTTATTTTATTTTGTTTAAGCATGGCAGTAAAACACGAACACTGTTATGAATGTATTAAAACATGCTATTTGTGAATCTCCTTATTTCCTTGTGCAGCCATGCTGCCATTGTAGATGGTGTATTCTGGGAAATTTTCTTTCCCCTTGGTTTCGAATGTGGTCCTGAAAAATCTCTGTTTCAAAGGGTATTTAGCCCTTGCCCTTGGCCCAGAGGTGTCCAAACTCTGTTCTGGAGGGCCGGTGTCCTGCATAGTTTAGCTCCAACACACCTGCTAGGAAGTTTAGAGCTTGATTAGCTGGTTCAGGTGTGTTTGATTAGGGTTGGAGCTAAACTCTCCAGAACACCGACCCTCCATGACCGAGTTGGACACCCTTGCCTTAGCCCTATGCCTTCATGCTAAAGAGAATTGGGACACCACTACCCCTTCAGGTGAATTCACAAAACCAGGGGTAGGGGAAGGGCTAAGTGGTAGAATTAAGATTAGGCCTTAAGCATACAGAACCGTTTTTCCTAAAAAAAGTGGAATAGTAGAAACAATATTCTGTTCTATATAGCTTAGGTTCCATCTTCATGTTAAGTCTTTGGGATCTGGAACAAGCTGCTTCTTGTGAACCCCTCCCTAAACAAATCAGTTGGACTATCCTGATTCAGGACATTTCTGAGCTTAGGGGCTCATCAGTGCAGCACTAACTTCTTGCGTCACCCGTTTCACTGAGCTCAGCCCCTGTCCACCCCCTCCCTCCAGCCAGAGTGCTCCATCAGGTCCGGAAGCTATTTGAGGGGTGAGATCACTGTGCATGGGATTCCCTCTAACTCAAAACATAGATACATTAAACATTGATCCTTTATCACACATGAGTGGGAAAGAGGAACAACAGAACTGTGTCTCAATTTGACCAGTCAGAGAAAGCTTTTGGGACTTTTTCCATGTGTGGACATGAAAATCCTCTCAAAGCCTAAATGTTTTATAGTTTACATTTAGATAAATACAACTAGGTGAACTCTTAAATATGTCTTAAGAGCCTATCTACATCTAATTTCATGATTTTGTGTTCGAAATCTAGTTAAATTGTACTAAAAAATGTGCTGACAATAATCTATGGTGAAACATGTATGTATGAATGTTAATGTATAGGGACTAACTCTCACTATTAACCTTAAAAACTATTAATAAGCAGCAGATTATGAGTTTGTTGAGGCAAAAGTCATAGGTTTATTAATAGCGATAATTGTACCTTAAAGTGGAACCGCATGCATTTAAATTGATTCCTGACTACATATTTGTTATGATGAAGTAGTGATTTCAAAATCGAATAACTTTGGCCATAATTTGCTAAAAGTATGATCTGCAATAAATGTAAAGTTTTCATCAACTGGTCAGTTCCAGACATCTGTTAGCGATGATCTTGAATGCCAAGGCAGAATGATGACTTGTGGTCAAACAGAGGAGGGCTGAATGAAACGTGAGCTTCTTGCAATAGCTCTGAAATAAAGACCATGTGAATGTTTAATGCCGTTCGGAGACACTGATATACACCCCTATACACGTC